TTAATCACTGCACCATCAGGGCTCCTCATTAGTCATTAGAGAAATGCAAATCCAAACTACAAAGAGATACCATCTCACCCCAACATTACTGGCACTAATTAAAAAAAACCCAGAAAATAACAAATGTTGGAGAGGTTGTGAGGAGACTGGAACTCTTATGCACTGCTGGTGGGACTGTAATACGGTAAAACAACTATGGAAAACGATATGGTGCCTCCTTAAAAAGCTAGAAATAGAAATATCATATGATCCAGCAATCCCATTCCTAGGAATACATCCTAGAGAAATAAGGGCCGTCACACAAATAGACAGATGCGTACCCACGTTCACTGCAGCACTTTTCACAACAGCAGGAAGAAGGAAACAACCTTGCTATTGTGGAAAGGGGGAGAGTGCTGACACATTGCAGGGGTTACAACCAATGTCACAGAACAATTTGTATATAAATTTTTGAATGAGAAACTCATTTGCGCTGTAAACTTTCAACTAAAGCACAATAAAAATTAAAAAAGAGTTTCTGTTGACTTAAATTCTGGATCATTAACATTAGTGGGACTCTACCTAATCATAAATATTTATCTCCAGACAGAGAAAGTACATGTTAACAAAAACTAAACACATACCAAGTTTTTGCTCTATTAGTTTCAGATTTTTCTCTTGTTCATCGAGTTCTTGCTTTTTCTTCTTCATATCAGGAGTGTGAAGGTACTCCAACTGTCCATTAAGGTCCTTATTCACACTGCCCAGCTTGCACACAGCCGAGCGGTATTGTTGAAGAAGATCTGCAAAGAAACCAAAGACACTCGATTAAACTATTGATACCATGTCAAGGACAGAAGGATTAACATCACATAGGTACTGTGTGACAGTAACATGTAGGAACTACTTTTAATCCACAAAATATTCAATGCAAACAAATGAAATAAAAACCATCATTTATTCCTCAGCACAATATCAGTATTTGTTAAATTTTAGTTCTCTCTGATTGCTTGATTTAACAAATTTATTTCTGTGTCAGGGAAGAGTTTTCTATATAAAAGTGCTCTACCAACTGGATCACTCTCAGTCAATGTTTAC